TTATAATCTTGCAAACTACGGCAAGATTACAAGACAACAGCATGGCCTCGGTTAGTTCCTGCCTTTCTGTAGCTTACAAGAACAGAGTAAGTGTTGGAAAATGGGGAATTTACTCCTGAGGGCACATATGGTGTTTTCCTAGCTGAAACAGGGGGCGTTTGCTGACGTCAGTAGACCACTTGTGGCTTCAGGGTGTTGTGCAATGAACTTGAAATGTGCATTTCATTTGAATACAGCGACAAAATACAATCTTATTACCATATATAATACGGAAGAGGCTTCTGATGCACAACTGACATTGCAAAAGTAAAACTGTTTTCTATTCGACGCAAACAGTGATCAAATTGCTAATTATTTAACTGAGCATTGGTAATGTAACTATAAACTGCACTTTCATGTCATTTTCATCGGTATGTGAAAGTAATCCTCACCCTCTGCACATCCTGATCTGTCATAAAATCCATGGCGTTCCGCTGGGAGAAATCCACTGCACGGGACCGATGCGCCTGAGTCTCTCCCCCTGGTTGAAGCACAGCCTGTTCGTATCCGACCACGTGACGTGTCTACTTAAATTAAAGTGTTATCATACAGAGACCGTAATAGGATTTTTGGACCTTTGGCTGTCTCCCAATTCAGAGTCTGCAGCCTTAGAGGCCGCATATTAAGGCCGATTACGTCACAGCGACGCGACAAAGGCTGTCCCAATTCAGAGGCTGTGTAGTGACACAAGAGCACACTGACAGGCTGCTCGAAATGCGTCCCTCAAATGCGTCCTTCATTTCCCTTAATTTTAAGGATGTAGCGGTGTAGACTTCATGGCCCAACATATCCCAGACTTCATAGCACGGCGGTGGGTGTGGATAATTTTGCCGAAAAAGCTGGAAGCTGAGCGGCCAAAGAGTAAACTTTCAAATAGTAAGTACTGAATATTATGCCACTTATTTGTGTGCAAATGTTTAATAATGAAGAACATTAAAACATTACTGTTGGCCACATGTCGGCAAAGTTATGTGACATTAGCGATGTTTGTACTTTCAGCATTTACTTTGTTTTAAAGC